TTCGAAAAATCAAATTGAAAGCAAGTGATGCATTGGCCCGTTCATCGTGTGCACATCGTAAATTGATTTACAAGTTCAAGCAATCAGTTCAACTCTCTCACGTTGCGTTCACAGCACATTTTTATTTTTTCGTTCATCTTGGGCGTTCAGTCGAGCAACATTGCATTTGATTGTCAATTGAATGATCCCGCAAAAGCGCACTGCATGACTGTAATTTTAAATTTTGAATTTTCCCCTCTCTCTGTGTGTGTGTCATCATTTCTAAATCATTCACTCACTGTGGCAGTCGAGTCATCCTCATCACTGACCGCGTTTGCAGCTCACAAAACTCAATCACAGATGTGTGCGAGCAATGTGTCGCTCAGCTGAGTACATGTCATACAAATTGAATTTCTGTGTGATATTTTTATGTGCGAATGTTTGTGGTATTGGCACCTCGATTATAATGACAAAAGGTGATTGGCGTGCATGTGTGTGTGTTTCTGTTTTTTTTTAATTAAACAAATACAACGAAGCGCGCACATTCCCGAACGCAGAAATTCCATTGATGAGAAACAGCCGCTTACATTAAACCCAGCCATTTATTATACGCTGATAAGAAAACGAGCATGAAATAAAAAAAGAAGAGAAGACAATGACGACGATGGCGGCGGCGGCCGAAGCAAAAAAACAACAAGAAAAGACGATAGAAAGAAAGAAAGAAAATTGATGTGTTACGTTTTTCTATTAGTTTATGATAATTTGCTTTGATTCAAACACGTACGATAATCGCACGAAGTAACGTTCTGCAGAAGTGAAACAATAATAAAACTGAAAGAAGAAGAAAATACCACTAGCAACGAAATCGTGTTATAAGAGAAATGAAGGCTAGAGAATAAATCAAAATGCAAGCGCACAAAAAAAAATGTGCAAAATATGATCGAATGGCGCGAGTGCGCACTAATGCGAAAAAGAGGCAGAATGAAACACGTGAGAAAGAGTGATAGAGAGAGAAAAGCGCACACGCACATGTTTTGCATTAAAATTCTCAAAGAGAGTAGTGTAATGTGTATTTTGGCCACTGCAACCAGTTAAAGAATCTTATAAAGAGAGGTGTATTTGACTTTTGATTTAATCGCTCGCGCACTCGGTGAAAATAATACGAGAAAGAGCAAACTGAAGAAGAGAAGATGAAAAACAACAACAACACGAAAATAATTTATAGTAATAATAAAAAGCCAGCAACAGCGATAAACAAGAGAAACAGACGGTTATACTTGGATGAATCCTGCGTATTTCATAAAAACCAACTCAAATCAATGCAAAATATAATATTTAAAGAGAGATAGAAGAAACAAATAAGCAAATAAATACACAGAACAAGTGATTTTAACTGTGCGCATACATGTATTAGCACTTTGCTGGAAAAATTTTCGCTTGATTTGCATCGAATTCTTTATTTTTTTTGTTTTGTTCGTTTTTCGATTCTGTTGATTTGTTGCGTTGACATACAAAACGATCGGCAAACACACACACACACACACACACACACACACACACACACACACACACATCGTCCAAGATTTAGAGAAGAAGTGACGGTCGATATCACCTCACATTCCGACAAAACGAAAGTTTTCAAACATAAATTACTAATGTATATTTTATCGATATGCTATGCAAAATAACTTGTTACCATCATTATCATCTTCATGTATACAAAACCGTCATGCGGTAGCCAGACGAACCAACACAACATTTCTGGTGATTCAAATGATTCTTTGCACGCATATATTCCCAATCATTTCTCAATCAGTTCTTTCTGCTTGAACAACAGAATAAAAGATTCACTGTCACAAACAACATTGTGACACCTTTTTTTTCGCTTCACCTTATTTTGTGTAAATATTTTTGGATTTCTTTCAAATTCCATTTGACCTCAATGTGTATTTATATGCATCATTTTCAACGATTTAAAGTGCACAAATGCTGGTTAAGCCGTTCACTATGACAGAAGAAAAAAAAACAACTACAACAACAGAAACATCAAACTATATATACATACAAAACGTTAAAATTCTTGCATACACACTGCATATATGAATGGGGTAGAATAAAAACTACTTCTCGAAAAATTGGTATTTGAAAACGAAACCAAAAAAAAATTTCAATTAAAAGTGAACCAAAATCTTTTTGTCAAATTGAAGTGAATCAAAAAAATTTTGTTCGATAAAAGTGAACCAAAAAAAAAATTTATTTGATTTGTTCAGTGTAAAATACACTAAAATGAACTTTTTTTTTTGGTTCACTTTTATCGAACAATTTTTTTTTTGATTCACTTCAATTTGACAAAAATATTTTGGTTCACTTTTATTGAAATTTTTTTTTAGGTTTCGTGTTTAGTATTTTTTTTCGACAAGTAGTTTTTATTCTACCTCATTCATATTTGTTACACTCTTTGTGTTGTCATTTGAGCACATAAATATAATTATAACTTACGAATAATTTTGCTTTGGAATAAACGCATAAAGTGTATGCCATTACTTTGCGAATGAAATAAAATAAAAAAAAGTGTGTACGATGGCAAGAAGTGAATGACAGAAGAGACGATAACAACAACAAAATGCTAGAAAGAGATGAAGCAGAAAAAAAAGACTACTTATAATGGAAGAAACAAACAAATAAACAGAAGGGAAAAAATGCCAAAGAGAAGAGAAGAGTGAGAGAAAATGATCTGCACATACCGAACTACGAAATAAACAAGTTATGCAAAAAGTGAATAACACTTATAGTAATACAAATCATAATAACAATATAATACGATTTAATTTTTCATGCACATACCTATATGAACGGTACACAGAGAGTGCTTGCTCCAAAATACCATTGCACATGTAAATGCAACGCAATGACACGATTCGTGGTGGTAGCGGTGGCAAAACTATGGGGACACGAACAAAAAGATGCGAGTCTCTCTGTGTGTGTTGTGTGCCGACAAAATTTGATGAGTGCTCTTCGATTCTGCAAATTGTGAGGGAAATTTATTTTGCGATAAAAGAACAGCGCTTAAATGAAAAGAAGAGCAGAAACATAAAGAAACAAAACAGTACTTGTATAATGTCATTCAATGATCTTTTTTGTGAGATATAACATCATAAAATAGTCTGTGTGTGAGTTTTTTTCCCTCGCAGCTCACAATTTGTGTATTGCGTGCGTTTTGCGAGCACACACACACATACACGTACTTACCACGCTCGCACTCAATCCACGATAATAGCTTTAATGTCTTATGCAATCTCAGTGAAAATGGCTAGAACTTATGTGTTAGTTTATGTACAAAAGAAAAACAAAGAAGAAGACAGAGAGATTAGCGCCAAGTATCAAATACAACAGTATACAGAGAGAGGCACAACAAAGAAATACCAAAAACGATTTACAAACACATCTTGTTTGAAGAGTTCAGACGAGAGTTGAGTTGAAAGTTTTAATCGATTGACTCCGGCTCGATATTCTGTCATCATGACGGTGGAGAAACCAAAGTTTTGCGACGAAGAAGCACAAAAAAAAGAATCTGAAGTGAGACAGAGAGAAGTAAAAAAAAATTAGCTCAATATGCTCGATTGGATGTATTGAATTTGTCGAAACATATGACACGCAAAATGAAAGAGATTAGATTGCGAGAGTGAGCGCGTCTGACGATTCGACATTGGCATCATACACACATTGAACGAAACTTGTCTATTTCAAATCCAACACACACACACACACACACACACACTCCTATGTGTGAAAAAAAGAACCCATTTGCATTTGACCCGATACCAAAACACTATAAATATGACTACGTATAATATACGTGTACTTTATCAGGCACACTCTCGCATTTTTCGTATCTCGTCACCGACCATTATCGTCATCATCATCGAATTGTTTTTTTTACTGTAGTGTTTCTGCCTACATTCGTTGGATTCTCCTTTCTTTTTTCCCTCTTTCGCTCTCTCTCTCTCTCTCTCTCTCTCTCGATTGGTGAAAAATAATTGGCGATTTTTGTTATGCCGTATATCTGTTCGCTCTATGCTCGATTATTCGTCGTGTTTTCATTCTCCTTTTTTTCATCTTTATTTTTGGTGATTTCTCAGTAATTGTGCCCCGTGTGCTACATATACACATTCGATTCCATTGCGTACACGTACATATATCGTTTGTAAGTTCGATGCGATCGCATACGTAGACACATACACACCCATACACATTCACTCATTCTCATGCCAAATGTATAAATATGGTTATATGATTGTTTAAGTAATAAGTGTGAACACACGAAAAAAAAAACCGATTGACACTACATATTGCACATTGGAACAGTGTTATTAAAAGTGTGCTTATTGAGTATGATTGAAACCGTACGAGCGGTGAGTGGTGAATGAGAAAACGCGGTGTGATCGTGTGTGCAATTTTGTTGTTGTTGTTTATTTGATTGCAATTTACATTTGTTGCATTTTGTGTGTTCTGTTTATACTTCCTCGTTTACGCTCCCTCGCTCACCATCGTCATCACCAGAATAAATAAGATCATCTCAATTTTGTACAATCATCGACGTTTACTTTTCACTTGTAGTACCCTGAACATTTCATGCATTCGACATTCATTTTGCCAAAAGAAAATCACAAATGACACAAGATTCATTGTGATAACAACCATTTTTCGCAATTTGTTTTGCTCGTTTAAAAAAAAATTCTGCGATCTCTGTGTATGCGTGAGTTTGTTTTTCCAACGAAACAAAAAATTCAATTTAAACACATTTATTTACTTGCTTCCGAAAATCGGCTTTATAAATTTCATTAGAAACCAATAAAGTAAATAAATTTTTTTGTGACGTCATAAGTGATTGAATTGTTATATTTCTTGTGTTATTATCACGCACAAAAAAACCACCTGTGTAGTATAATGACAACCAGATAAAATAGAAGTGATAGACTGAAGTGGCTAACGTGTGTTTTTTTCTTACCGTTTTTTTCCAGATCGTTTGCGTACGCGTTCGCAGTTTATGTGTGTTGCTTTGGTTATCACTAGCAACAAAAGAGCATATTTTGTGTTACAGTTACCTGTTACCTAATTAATAAACAAAAAAAGAATCTTTTTTTTTTTGAATAAGTGAAACAAGAAACAATACGATTGATATTGAGAGCAAAATAAAATAAAACGTAAAGTAAAAAAAAGAGAAAGAAAAAAATATTATAATAACTTGAAAGAAATTCAACATCAACACTACAAAAAAATCATATTGCAATCAACGAAGAATTTGAATCAGGAGCAGCAGCGGGCGCAGCAGCCAGCGGTGCATATTCGCGGTGGTGTTTAAAAAAAATAATAATTGTTCGGTTTTTAATTTCGGCAAAATGGCCGCTCTCTGTACGGGCATTTCGTACGGACTGTCACAGAGTTGCCTGAGAAACGAAAATAAGGAATTAATTTTTGTGAAATTGACTGACTCAGCGTATCGTGCAATCGAGGAATACCAGAAAAATCAAGTAAGTACCATCATTTTTCTTTCTATGTTTTTTTTTCTTTTAATTTTAATTTTTCACAATTAAAATCCAATCCATCCCCTTTTTTTATCACCGGATTTTCGATGCAGAAAGTTTATCGTTTTCAAAAAGCTCGCATAAATAATTTCATCGCCAAATGTGCGATATGTATCTGCCATTTGAATTTACACAATGGTTTATTATTATTGGTGGTATCTCATCAATTCAACTGATTTATTGAATTGTATAATTCAATTGGACTCTCTTACTCTCACTCTCTCTCCATCTACCATAACGAACCAATTATTTCGTTTGGTGTGTATTTTTTTCTTCTTCAAATTTAATTTATTATGTGTATCTCTTGCATAATTTGGTTCACATTACATTATCTGATTTTGGAAATCAATCAATGAAAAATTTGACTTTTCGAAAATTCTCCGCATGTTGGCATGCCCATAACCCCATTTCACAAATAAATCTCGGTCAAATTCATAACCACTATAAATTACAGCCACCACTAAAATATGATCAGCCATATCTGAGAATTGACTTTGATTCGTATTGGAGGCGCTCATGTTTCATTGCTTCGTCACCGGCAAAATTGTATGCGCGATGAAACCGAAAGGAAAGTGTGTCAAATTTATGTACATATGTACGATGCACAGTATGCTTGAACCTTGACATTTCCCGTTTGTTCTCTTCTGTCAAATCTCTTAATTGATTTCATTGATCATATCATGTGCGCAAAGCTTGTCAAAATCAGTATTTGTGGTTGTTGTTTTTTTTGTCGCTGGTTTGGCCGAGTCCAAATCCGTTTCGGTTCTCGAATTTCATTGTTTGTTGAATGTTTAGTCGCGAATTAGTTTCTATTGAAAATGGTTTCATTCTTTTTTTTGCGTCGTTTAAAGTAAACGAAACTTCGATGAAAAATGAAACCTCAAGTCCTCAATAAAACTGAAACATAAATTCGACGATGGTTTTTTTTAGAATGGGCAGCGGGGCGGTGTAGCGAAACGACGTCGACGAAAAATTGACTGCATAATATAATGTCTTTGTGTATTGGTTGTTGCTAAACGAACGGTGTTTGCGTTACTCCGTCCGCTCCGTTGACGTTTCTGATTAATTACATTGACAACGAAATACACATCGAAAACTTGTTTCTTTATTTTCTTCATCATCATCATCACCATCATCATCGATGTAGTCGTCTCTCTCTCTTCTCATTGTATCCGTGGCTCGTATACTAAAACCAAAGTTTCGAATCAAGATCAAGACTCTTTGGACTATCGAACAGCTTCAGTTTGCATTGCCAAAAAAAAAACCCAATAAAAAGACTGAGAGACACACAGAGTAAGAGAGAGAGAGAGAGAGAGAGAGAGAGAGAGAGAACGATGAAAAATGTAAACTGCACCAATCAAATAGCAGAGTCTTTATCATTTATAGTTCTTCTTTTGCAAAACTAAATTCGCATACACATTTAAGTGCTGCACGAATCGCTGCGTTGCGAGAAAACAACGACTCTCGAAATGACGAGAAATGATGAGGAAAGAAACAAAGACTGCACACCACACAACAAAACAAGAGTGAGTGAGTGAGAGAGAATGAAACGGAATAAATGGTCTCTGCTCGCTGGCAACCGTCAGTTATGCGGCCGAGTTAAAATAAGTGAATTGCGTTAGTTTGTGCGATTTTGACACATGTGTGTACGATTTTTAGTGTGCATACGAATTGAAGGACAGACAAAATAAGACAAACCGCACACACACGTTCGCTCAATCAATATATTGAAACGTCAACCGTTCACATCTACATAACGTTATATGAATACGGACACGACGTAACCGTAACATATGATTGTCGCGTTTACCTACAATGCTTAAATGCTCACAATCATAATGTTTACAATGTACACACACACACACGCGCGCGCGCACACCTATCTCTCATTCTATTGAGTGTATATTGTTCGGTTCGTCTTACGTTTTGTTGATCCAAGAGAGTCTTTGTTGTGCACACAGACAGACAGATAGACAGACATGCATCAATGTAACCAAAGACATATAACGAGGCGATATATGATTGAACAAACAAAACAACAATAAAAACAAAAATTTGAAGAGAATAAGGAGGAAAAAAAGAGAGCCACCGACCGAATGGTTATTTATTTTAATCACTTTAGCGGCTAATTTTTATGACTTTTATGAGTAACTAAATTACACATCTGGATGCATTCAATTCGTTTGTGAATTGTAAATGTCATGTTGCATGGGCGAATGTACTAGATTAAATTACAAAGACAAATTCATTATGTAAAAAGGCGATCTGTTGTTGTTGTTGTTTTTTCCTTTCGGCTGGCTCTTAACAATAACATTTTTACTGCTTAAATTGTGGGCTAAAATTAATTATAATGTAAATATTTTGCCAGCAGGCACTTCAATTTGTCATGGTCTTTTTTTTTGTTCTTTTATTCTACTGATAACTGACACTTCAAACACTTTCCAGCCAATGGATGAGATTTAAGCAAATTAGTGGCGCCGGTGCTGCTTTTATTTGCAATTCAAATTGTGTTGCCAGGCCACATATAATAAAATGATTTTTGTTTCGAAATTAATTCGCATAGACTGATTCCATCGTCAAGTCCGCAATTAGATTTTAATGTTCATTCTCTTTTGCTCTGCCATTCGCTGCAAAATTTTATGTCATCGTCTATTTATTCTTGAACAAATGATAAAGAATTCGTTTGTCCTGTTTAAACAAATGTTTAGAAATGTTGAATTTTTCAAGTTTATTTTTGTTGAAATTCGTTCAGTCGAGGTGGATCGATAACAATTGATAAAGTAAACATTTCGCATTATTCCAGCCAATTCGATTAATGACCACAATCTCGGCAAGCAACAACTACAAAAACAATTGCATTTCAACATATGATTTCATTTAATGTTTTATTTCCATCAAAACCAAAATTCAACACTTTCGCTCGGTGTCTTACCGAATCTATCTCAGTCGCTTTTGACGATTTCTTCTCATTATTTTTTTTCTTTTCGTCTGTCGCATTTTTCACAAGTTGTTCGATATTTTGTTATTGTTGTTATTCATTTTTGGATCCCGAATAAAGTCACCAGTTCCGAAAATAATCATGTCACACATATTTAGGTGGACATAATTTTAATTTGATATGAGCCATTCGGTTCAAACATCAACCAAACGCAACCGATTCAAAATCGAACAAGAGGAGACAGAGAAAGAGAGAGAAGTGCGCCGTACATCGAATATATTTCATTGGACAGTGTGTGTGTGTGCCCGTCCGAGAACTGGTGTTGGTGGTATTTCATTATTGTTGTTGTTCAATTCCATTTGACATTTCTGAATAAACCAGTTATACGATATATTAGCTGGTTATGGCAAAACTGAATTGGACAAAGAAAAAACTTTCTACAACAGTTGAAATTGTTGTGTGTCCAATGGCATGTTCGTGCAGCCCAGCCGAGATATATGCATTTTTTTCCCATATATATGTGTTTTGTTTCGGTTTTTCTGTTCGTCAGTGTTGCTATTGAGATTGTTTCTTATGAGGCGCTGCAACACGAAAGCGCTGGCCGATGAACGAAAGCTTACTTACACACAGCCATACAGTGTGTTGTTACATTACCACATACAGTAATTATATTGTCAGTTGCATTGGCACACACCGTCATTCGATCACACACAAACATTCTATATACACACTGGCGAGAAAAGCTTGAACGAAAATCGACCAAAAAAAAATTGGTTATATTCTACTTTAGCTGAGAGTTGCCCCTGCCACACATAATTCATTATATTCGATTGTAAATTGTGTGTGCGAGCGGCGCGTGAGCGCTCACTCTACGCCACTACAAATGAACGAAGGAATGAAAAAAAGCACACACACACACAACAACAAATTTTGATATAAAATATACAATAAAAAAAATCAAGTTACGTGAATCGACCAGTCGAACAAGTTAATTTTACTAAAAAGCATTCACACACATTCACATCAATCTTTCTCGTATTCGTATCACTCATTCGACTTTTGACTATCACTCTGCATGCAAACGTGTACACATGCACACACACACACATACACACCCAAGCAGTAACAAATAGAGACAACGACAGAAAGAGCCCATCCATTTGTGATTACTTTACCGAATTCACATTGGCATTCGATACGATATTATTCGCGATATGCATTTACGTCTGTTGTCGTGTAGTTCTTTTTTTTGTAATGCAAATATTAAAATCAGAGAGCAGAAGAAAAAAATGTGTATTCGAATGCGGCGCCGATTTATATGTCGGCGGTGACGGCGACAATGGTGGTGGTGGTGGCAATACAACAATTCACATCACATTGACATACACCCAAAACAAAGTGACTCGAAAAATGCAAACGATGAGAGAGTGAAAGAGCAAACGAGATAATGATTCAAATGAGACGAAAGAGTGTGTAGAGACAAGAACGACAATGTGTGTACCATATATACAAGGAAAACCATCACGAAAGGTCGTTTGGCATTCAGTTGTTATTACTGTTGCCGCTGTTGTTGTTTTTTTTATTGTTAATAATAAATATTCAATAAATTGCGTTCAAGAGCTTTTAAATCTTATTCAGTTCCTGCATCAAAAAATGCCTTCTGGATTATGAAATAACTCATGAAATTTTTTCTTTCGTATTTTACGTATTGGGAAATAGATGGCAAATTGAATGTCACTTTTATATGCGGGGTGATATGGAACCGAGGGAAATCCCAATTCCTAATGCTTGTCTCCAATTCATCATTAGATCATTCAATCGAAACGAATTTTATTGAGTTTTTTTTTCGTAAAATAAAAAGAAGTAATTTACGAAAAAGAATTTTAACAACGATTCGATTGAATGAACGCGTTTTTTTTCGTCGTTGATGCTGTGAATGTGTGAATTTATACTTTCATTTTATGCATTCGATTTAAGCATGTTTCAATTTGTGCCAGTGTGCCATGTC